GTGATAACGACAGTGTGGAGTGTGAAGGGTTTTCATGAATGCCGCTCGAAGGAGCACACCACTACATTAAATATAAGGATGGGAAAAAATTGTGACAGTGAATGCATGATAAGAGGATATAGGAAATGTGAAGAGCCCAGGGCAGAAGAGGAGATACCACAAGTGTTTAGCACACGTTTAGTCGAAGAATGTGCTTCACTTGTCTCTGACGAGTTGTAATATGGTGCTACAAATGGCGAGACTCACTGACGATGTCGGCAAAACGTCTGGGAATGTACCACGTCTACGGTCCTACTCTGAAAATGCATACAATGGACTCTGGACGAGGTGCGTTTCTCTTAGTCTTGCTATCAATATGACCGAGTTACAAAAACAAGGTCAAGCAACTTTTATATATTAATATTATTTTTTTATAATTTACAATGTACCAATACAATTATGTGATTTTATTTTGAGTTAAAGGGGATTATATATGATCATGAATTTTGTACTGTCATATTGTCATATTTATATTGACAATATCTCTCATTTTCATATGTAATTAAGATTAAGATTTGTAATAAAGATTAAATTTGGCGAGGATTTCTTCACTTTATCAAATATTAATCGAACTATATTATCTAGTTTCGAAACCCTACTTTCATACGAATATATTATCTAGCTTAAGGCACAATAAACTAGGCTTTATTTATCCTATTATATCTGGTTTTAATGGCTTAAATTTATATTCTATTCTGTTTTTGATTATATTACCGTAGTAAACATGCTTTAAGTGCTATTCTTGCTTTATCTTACTTTGCGTCTTGCTAAAGCTTAGAATGTTATGGCATTGCAATTCTATTAAGGACCATCTCCGTTTAGGGATAAGCCTACCGATTAAATCCTATTATCACTGGATCCCAAATGCGCATCTTATTTTATCTATATTCCCATTGGTCAGCAGCTATCCGGCAACTGATTTGCTTCTTATTTTTCGCTTACTAAATTTATTTTAGCTTCTAGTTATATCTCAATATGTCGTAGATATATGGAATAAGTTTGATCTTAGTTTACTCTGGCTGTTTAATATTGGTTAGACCTTTTTATGCACATTGGTTGGAGTAAGAAATACCATATGGAATGTACTTGGTCCTGCATCATCATGATTATTTACAGTCAAACCGTTGAATTGGTACATCCCCATACATTTTGCCGGTATCGTCAGCTAAAAGAGCCATTCTTATAATAGAGTTACAACCTCTCAAAGTGAAAAGTGAATTCAATCTCTTTTTCACCTTGATAGGTTGTAACTCTGTGCTAAAAATGGCGCCTCTCATTGACGATGCCGGCAAAAGGTATGGGAATGTGCCGAGTCAACGGTCTGATCCTGGAGATTATCATGAATGCTCTGGCAGGGAACGAAGTACTAGGTACGTTCCACTAGGTCTTTCTGTCGGTCCGATCAGGTTGTAAATACGAGGTCAAATTGCGACTAAACGTAAGGCCACCCAATCTTGTTCTTTTACCTATGGCATTATCATGCTTCATACTATAAAAGTATCGTTTATGGTTCCCATTTTGATTAATATGTCTAGTGTTTTTATCTTTTAATCAACTTTGCTCCTACGTTAACCATCAGTATAAAGAAAGAGTGTCTTGCAACATTAGTCATAACGCATAATCTGCTTAGCTAAAATTTGAATGAACTTCGATAATAGGATTAAATTTCTTATTCGTTAATATAAAGACCAAGATGGTGTAGCCTTTTGTTTTGCCGCAGCCTCCTTTAGCATTATAGTGTTGGTTCGATCTTGTTTTCGCAACTTGCTCGGAGTTTTAGGGAGACCTCATGGAACGTACCTAGTGTCGTGTCCTCTGTTATAGTATTAGTGATTTCCAGCATTGGACCATTAGCTGGGTACATTCCCAAAACAAAGAAGGCTCAGCATATGCTCGGATAAAGTGTGAATAGAACTGAAGATATATGAGAAAGCGGCAGCAAGGGTCAGAACTATAGCAGCATCATAAGAAGGCTAACAAGGTAGTTTGGAGTTTCCTCCGAGTAGTTATCCCTATATTCTTATTTCCCCCCTAATATTTCTGCGTAATCCCATTGTATGTGGTACAACCATTTGATTGGCTGGCAGAAGGAATTCGCCTGGCACATACATGATTTGATGGACAGAGGTGGTAGTCGAAAAGTGAATGCAATCTCTTTATCACTTTGATAGGTTGTAACTCTGTGCTAACGATGGCGCCTCGCATTGACGATGCCGGAAAAAGGTATGGGAATTTGCCAAGCCAACTGTCCGATTCTGGAGATTATCATGAATACTCTGGCAGGGGACGAAGGACTAGGTACGTTCCACAAGGTCTTCCTGTCAGTCCGATCAGGTTGTGAATACGAAGTTAAAATTGCGACTAAACTTAAGGCTACCCAATCTTGTTCTTTATACCTGCGAAATTAATATACTTCATACCATAAAAGTATCGTCTATGGTTCCCATTTTGATTGATGTGTCTAGTGTTTTTATATTTACATCAACTTTGCTCCTACGATAACCATCAGTATAAAGAAAGAGTGTCTTGCAACATTAGTCATAACGCATAATCTGCTTAGATAAAATTTTAATGAACATCGATAATAGGATTACATTTATTATTCGTTAATATAAAGACCAAGATGGTGTGGCCTTTTGTTTTGCCGCAGCCTCCTTTAGCTTTATATTGTTGGTTCGACCTTGTTTTCGCAACTTAATCGGAGCTGCAGGGAGACCTCGTGGAACGTACCTAGTATCGTGTCCTCTGCAATAATATTAGTGATTTCCAGCATTGGACTATTAGCTGGGTACATTCCCAAAACAAAGAAAGCTCAGCAGATGCTCGGATAAAGTGTAAATAGAACTGAAGATATATGAGAAAGCGGCAGCAAGGGTCAGAATTATAGCAGCATTATAAGAAGGCCAACAAGGTAGTTTAGAGTTTCCTCCTATTAGTTATCCCTATTTTCTTATTTCCCTCTTAATATTTCTCCGTATTATCATTGTATGTGGTACAACCATTTTATTGGCTGGCAGAAGGAATTCGCCTGGCACACATGATTTGATGGACAGAGGTGGTAGTCGAAATTATCAGAAAAATTTGTCTAATGGCAAAATTGCATCAAGGGTTTGATTATCTCACATCTAAAATCCCTGTACAATCAACCATGGACATATATTATTGACGTTAAATGATAACACTATTTATAATAATGCCTTTCAAAAACGATACACTTACTGGAATAAGTACTGTCAGGATAAAAATACATGGAAAGGTGCTATATTTATCCCTTCCCGGCGTTACTGCCCTTTACTGCAAAGGGCGACAAAGCCAAAGCAATCTGATTGGTATTACTTGGTTTTGACGAATGTCTTGAGTTTTCCGTCGCAAAAAATAAGTTACTAAGATTAATGATAAAATGTATTTTCTAAGATCTCATATTTATGTACTTGGGCTTCGTGCTACCGCATAGAGTACCCTAGCGTTGAATAGAGTAACGCGTCACAAATTACTACTTGTTTAAAACAAGAAAAATTACGGACAAGGCTTCGAAGTCGGAGAGAACAAAGACGGTAGCGAAGTGTGTTGTTGGCAGTGTTTGGTCACAAAAAGTCTCAACGGTTCACGAACAGCGGCCTAGAATTTCTGGCTTAAAATACTCCTGAGTACTTTTATTGTCATGCTTTGATTGGTTTAATAAGAAAGCTCGTTGTGGTGGCTAGATTCCTTTGGTTTCCTCAAACATAGTGCAGATGAGTCGTGATCCGAGTGGCGTTTGAGTGAGTTGAGAGATAACTGCTTACTGTTTTGTTGAGACAAGAGATGGAACCAAACTGACTAGAGCAAAAGTCATTAAATATTAAATGAATTGTACACTGATAATCGAATTTGGACTTGCCTCATTTCTTTCACCTTAACGTGAAACAATTTGTTTCCTTCAGGAAAATCGGGGTAAGGCATAATGACGGTGAGCTCAGAAAGCTCTTTTATTCGCATATCCTGATTAGATATCGACATTTAAGTGATGAGGTATGGTACATAATGCATGAAAAGGCAGTACCAAAATTAAGTATAAGGTTTGGTTTCTAGCTGACATCCTGACCTTGAATGGACTGATTACATAGAGCCAAAATGAGTTTCTTGTGTTTCAGTTCTTGGTCATTCTAAAACCAAAATAACCACGCAACCTTCAAGGCATGAGTAAAGAGTGATTTATTCCTTCTCATAGTTCGTGCTGCTTCTTGAGTATGATTTTACTTTAAAATTGTAATCTTCGCTTTAATACTAGTTCTTAGATAACTTGCATGTTACCTTAACAGAATAATTATTCCCGTTTATCAGTAAATCTCATGCAACTTTGTGATCGTTAATGCATCGAATGGAAGCAAATTAAAGTTGGGCCCAATTTATCATGAGAAGATTAATTTATTTGTATTGAGTATGGTTAAATCGCGATTATATCACACTTTATTCTCATTTACTTTTAAATTCTTTTTATCATTTCTTCTCTATGGCCGTGGGTATGAATATAAAGTTTGTGCTACATTTTATTTGATCGGCTTACCTTTGTTTTCACCACTTTACTATGTTTACAGGAAGAATATTCTTTCATAAAGGCCATACATCCTTTCAATTTTGGGTCATTGACCAGTTAACATTTGTAATTTAGTGCTAATTATTGTTTATTTGCTTATTGATGTCAGCTATGATCCCGCCTAAAGGTCAGTTTTCCACTTACAATTTCGTTTTGATGTATCCCACGGTGAGGTGATGAGAATTCTATACACTCAAAAATCGGATGCAGAAAGCTTTCTTGTATACTACATCCACGGATTTAGCATTAGCAACGTTTACAAGGTATTCCAGCCACTACAATCATGTTGTGAAAGTGTTTTTCAGCCAAGATTATATAACGATATGAGACTGGGTTCTCACACGAAGCAACATTATCTTGTTATCTGTATCCATGATTAATCAGATGACATTTTGTATTTTAAAAATCCGGTGTTGAAATATTCCTATAGATTTACCATTTTTATTATCGGTCATATGGATCATGTACCTATGATTGTATGTATGTGGGGCCCTAAATTTGCACAATAAGTACATCTTAAGTCATTTACATGTTTAATATTGATTTGATCTCGTTTTCGCAACTTGATCAGGGCAATGGGAAGACTTTGTTAAGCACACTTAGTCCTGCCTCCTCTGCAATTGTATTCACGATGTCCAACACTGACCGTTGACTTATTACACTCCCAGACGTTTCGATGACATTTTCAGTGAGAGGCGTCATCATTAGCACAGTTATCATTATAAAACTGACCAGAGAAGGCCTTTGATAAGTTGTAGTTCTGTTTTAATGATAGCGCCTCTGACTATTCCGACGAAACACCTGGGAATGTACCAAGTCAACTGTCCGATCCATGAATAATAGGACATAGGACTCAGGACTAGATACGTTCCACAAGGTCTCCGGGTCGCTACGACTAAGTTGCGAAAACGAGATCACACCACCACTATACAGCTAAAGAAGACTGTGACCAAACAAAAGGCCAGTCCATCTTGCTCGTTATACCTACCATCCAATTACTGGTTTACTCTTTAGCTTCTATATTCATTATGCATTTTAACAGAACTTACAGCAAAAATGAATTTCCACGCATCTTATTTGTCCCCATGTGTACCCCTTTTTATCTTCCCGAAACATAACTTCTCTTCCTTTCCTAGGTATGAATCGGTTAACTACTTATTCTATCGCTCAAGCTTTATCTTATCCTTACTATCCCGTACAACTCTTAACAGGAACTCTTATGAATTAATTTATAATCAAGCTAACACGTACTGTAAAAATGGATGAAGATGTAAGTAATAATTCGTCCTTACTTGATCAAGTATCATTGTTTGAAGCAACAAACTGAAATTCATGTATTTTCATTCTAAAACCATTTTTACTTATTATTTTTCACTAATCTAATCTAATCTCTATATAATCTTGTATTTGCATTCATTTTCTTCCGT